AAAAAATTCTCTTTAGAACAAAGTGATGCTTGCTTAGAGCTTTTTTCCCATTCTTGGGTAAAAGGACATGATTTCCAAAGCCAAGTCCAACAAACTGACAGGTCTCCAAAATGCTGCCCATTTTGGAAGTTTTCCTCAACTTCCTGCCCTTAACCCCTTAACAAGCTCCAGGGGTTCATTGTGTACCTGTGAGTCCAGACACTGAAAATTTAACCAATAGATCTGCCATTAAAAAATAATAATAATAAAGTATTATAATAAAAAACAAGTCAGCCAAGCTGGGCAGTGGTGGCACACGCCTTTGATCCCAGCACTCAGGAGGCAGAGCCAGGCGGATCTCTGTGAGTTTGAGGCCAACCTGGTCTACACAGCGAGATCCAGGAAAGGCTCCAAAGCTACACCGAGAAACCCTGTCCCAAAAAACCAAACCAAACAAACAAACAAAACAACAAGTCGGCCTTGATGGGTGTGCTGCTGTATCCAGCTGTAATCCCAGCCACTTAGAAGCCTGAAGCAGAAGGATCCAACGTTTGAGGCTGACCTATACAACTAAGGGAGATCCTGCTTCAGAATTAAAATCACAGTGGTGGGATGCTTGCATTACCCCAGGTTCAGCCCTCAGTATCCCTAATTAATTAGTTAATTAATTCAGCTGTCTGACTGATTCTCCTAGGCTACTTAAATGTTCCATACCACTCCTAAAGTGAGAGTTAAACAAGAGAATTGTTGATATAGTATATATTTGATTGGATCAGGAGATGGTGCAGAGGAAGGAAGAAGTCAACACTGAGAGGAACTGTGGAGAAAACAGAAGAGCATCTTTCATCACCTGTCCAGGGCACAAAAAGAATTGAGTGCTACGTGTGTGAATATGGCCCCTGTGGAGCGTTCAAATACCTTGCCTTGTGTCTAATCTAGAGCCAGAGTGACTAAGGTTAATTAACAAATGTTCATGTACAGACTCTTCTTGTTTTCTGCCAGGCTTATTGCATCCGTGGCTTCTAGTTCTCTGGTGAACATATGAACTTGAGAAGGAAAACCACACTGTTCTGCCAGCAAAATGGCCGGCATAGGTCCTTGTGGTCCCATGGCCTTGTTAATTAGCCTAGCTGCAAGATCATTTTAGAGCCCATTTCATGAAGATGTTTAAATGTAAGTGAGAAGGTTGGGTGTAACAGGTAGGTTTTTGAAAGAAACAAAAGAAAAGAAAAGAAAAGAAAAACCAGCTTGATGGCAGGTGTGGTAACTCACGCCTGTAACCCCAGCATTCAAGAAGCTGAGGCAGGAGGATTGCCATGAGTTCAAAGATACCTCCCTCAATAAATAAATAAAAACAAACAAGTAAGATGCTCTTCTTAACGAGTGCAGGTACTTGACCTTCTAAGCCAAATGCAATATTTTTTGGGGACGCAGCATATTTAAAGGAGTATGGGGGGGTTACTTACAGGAATATGGGTGAGGGGTTACTTACAAGAGCAGAAATGACTCAGAGACAGCTGTATCACCAAAAGCCACTACAGCATGGGTGGCAGCTCACAAAAGCAGGGGACCTGGAGCACAGGGCACAGCCTGCAGGCGGCTCAGCTGGTTTCTGCTTCTTCCAGGCAGCTGGTCTGGTCTTCAAGTCTTCTTTGCAGCTTGGCTTGTATGAGAGTGATTCTCTGTAGTCTTTATTGTTTACTCTTGGGAGGGAGGAGCCTCATGAATCCAGTCAGTTTCAGGGACTTCCTGAAGCTATTTTGAGTTACCCATAAACTGGAGACCTAAAATGATAGTCTGCATTACCATTTTGCGTAATGTCTGTGGATCAGAAACTTACTAGCGGCTGGCAAGGTTGTTCTGACCTGGGGTCTGGGATAAAATCACATTGTCTTGGGCTGTAGTGACAATCGGATGCCTCATTCATGTGTCTACTGATGGAAGGCCACCATGCCTTTCCATAGGGCTGCTTCAATAGCCTCAGAACACAGTCAATTTTTTTCTAGAATAAGTGACCCAAGAGAGAACTAGGTAGAAGCCACCATGTTATTTTTTAACTAATGCTTGGATGCAATGCATTGTTAATGTAACCACCATTTCTCATTCGGTTACAAAGGTCAATGCTGTCACTGTAGGTATTAGTATCAGTGAGAATGGGAGCATCTTGGAAACCTTCTGCTATGGAAGGCCTTTGCAGGAGTTGACCAGGAAGTGGATGCTGAAGGTGGCCAAGCATATACGATGTAGTAAAATTACCCTCTAAAAATGCATGTGCATCTAGTGACCCTTCTGATAGAAATTCCTCTCTGACATTGGCTGATTGGTGACCTGGAATTTGCAAACCAATCCATGAAACTTTCAAAATGTCTAATTATGACCCATTGTTAGGTTATAAGTTGTTGTAGCTACATTATAAAATAACTACTTCTTGGTTTAATTTGACAGATCTTCTGTGATTGTAATTGACAGAATGATCTACATGCTATATTTCTCAATAATTTAAATAACATATCAAGTCTCTTGAGCAGGTAGGAGGAAATAGTAGATGAACATGCTTCGGTTACATCCATATTTTACGTAATACCTGTTTTGCTTCAAAACTGCCTGCTACTTCAGATGCTTTAACAGGCCCAATTTATCTTCTGAGCCCGCTCAATAAGCTGTCATTCTCATACCTACTTCATGAGAGTATGATTTAAAAACAAGTAAATCAGCTTGCTACGGCTGGACTTGAGGCAACTTCTGTTAGCTCAGTTATGGGAGCACACAGCCAGCTTGTGTTTTGCAGCCACCACAGCAGAATGGCTTGTCAGATGGGAGAATTAATTTACCAGTGTGTAGGAGGCAATGAGTCCGTGTAATTAGAGGAGTTGTCTGTTGCTGTGAGTTAGTCTCTCTGGTGGTTATTTCATAGCTTTCTTTTGTTATAGACAAGTTAAAAGAATGAAAAAGCAAAGTTGTTTGAGAAACAGCCTTCAGTAGAAAAAAAGAGTCACTGAAGCAGTGTGTGTGGCTAATTGACCTGGGAAACTTGTCGCTTCACATAGTACAGACCGTGATAGCTTCGTCAGCAGAGACCAGGGGAGGCTGTTACTCTGGCAGTGGCCAGACTGAAGGACTGAGGTGGAGTTTGGCCAAATTCACTTTTCTTGTTTCTAGAAGTGTAGAGAACAAATTTGCTTTTTATTGTTTTCAAATGTGTTCTGTCCCCACTTTGAAAGAATGCTTTTCTTTCTGTTTAAGTGCAACCTTTAAAGTTCTTTCCTACCTACTGATAATACAATGACTGCATAAATAGTACAAACCTTAAACTGAAGGGTAAGCCATGGGCAGACTCCGGGAAGAACCACATACAGATGTCTCTGCATTTTGAGATGCCTCACATTTCAACCCTGCAGTTCCCTACATCTTAAACCCATGTGTTTTGCCTGGCTTTAGCGACTGCAAGTGATGAAGAAGAGGGAGCGGGTCTCTTTGACAGCACGGGCAAGGCGGCAGCCGATCCCTTTGACACGTCTTCTGGATCAGTGCAGCTCATAGCCATCAAACCCTCAGCTCTGCCTGCAGTGCCTCCTGCCTCAGACAGGGGCCAGGAGTCCTCAGTGGCACTCAATGGCGAGGTAAGCGCCCATAACCTGGGTGGAGAGTCCAGCTGGACCCTCAGTGATCCCTCGGCATGTGGAGTACGGCTTGTGTCCAGTGGCCTGAGGCTGTAGAGGCCATTTGTACCTCTGCATGTACCAGACCTCAGTGACGTGAAATACAGATCATCCAGAGTGAGTTTGTTCATAGCATTTTCCACCTGCAGTGAGAGCTCGGAGCAAATCTTTAAAAGCCCATGATTAGAAAAGCAGGTATTGCCTTTAATCCCAGCACTCAGGAGTCAGAGCCAGGCAGATCTCCGTGAGTTCGAGGCCAGCCTGGGCTACCAAGTGAGTTCCAGGAAAGGCGCAAAGCTACACAGAGAAACCCTGTCTCAAAAAAAAGAAAGAAGGAAGGAAGGAAGGAAGGAAGGAAGGAAGGAAGGAAGGAAGAAAGAAAGAAAGAAAGAAAGAAAGAAAGAAAGAAAGAAAGAAAGAAAGAAAGAAAGAAAGAAAGAAAGAAAAGCAGGTATCAGAGTCTGCAGCCTTGCTATACTGCACTCCTGTACATTTCAACTCCCATTAGGATCTGTGTTGCTGGGGTAATGGGAGGAAGGTGAACTGAGAGGGAAGAGGAGAGCATGCTGTCATCTGGGCAGGGAGCTGGCCTCCAGAGACTCTGAAAGGACATTGATTCTGCTAGCAAGCTTGAAATAGCCCTGTGGTCGCTTTCTAGGTGGTGTCAATGTCAATCAACTTTCCTGGGGAGCTGGCTGAATTGGTAAAGTGCTTGCCATGAAACCCTGGGATCAGCACCCATGTGAAAGTGGGGCACACCAGTGTGCACCTGTAATTTTAGCACCGGGGAACAGAGATAGGTGGATCCCGGGGCTCACTGGTCAACCAGTCTAGTTGAATCTGTGATAAGATTTAAAAACATCTGTCACATCTATGAGAGATTTTATCAAAGAAAATTAGAGATAATAGATGATCGATAATAGATAATAGGTCAGTAGGTAAGGGAGAAGAGAGTTATCTCAGACAAAGAACAGGAAGTTGGGTTGAAAATGCCATCCCTCTATCTTCCTTCGGCAGTATAATTATCAATGAGCTAAAAGAGTGTTTATGAATCTTTACAGATGTTCACATGGGGCCACCTGTGTGCATTTACATTATATATGCATGCACACATATATGTGCATACACACTGTTTTCTCTGGTGTTAAAGTGTTGGATTGACTGTTTATTTCATTTCTATCCGCTATTGTCACCTGAAGCAGGTGGGAGATTTGCAAGGTCTAAAGCCTCTTTCTCATCATGCCTCAAGGGACCTGCTGCAACCCTGTGCAGCTGGGCATCACAAATGCTCACCAGGGGCTTCTTTCCCACATCCGGGACACTTGTGACAGTGTTGTATGCACCTGTATGTGTGTTACAGGAAGGACCTCTTTTCTGAGCAGAAAGACTGAGCTGTCATGGGCTGAGGTTCTGTGATCCACATCAGCAGTACTTCTCTTCCAACTTCTTTATTTTTAGTCAAAGAGACTAAAGCCCGAGGGTGAGGTGTTGGTGGCTGGAGTTCAGTTGCCCTGACTCCTAACTTATACTCAAGCCCGTCTTGAGAAACAGTGCTGTAATAGAGAGTAAGGCCTCCAGAGCTGTCTTGCCAGAGCTGGAGTTCCAGCCTGTCCACTCACTGTCTCGGCAACTTAGGCAAGTGAGTAGAGTGGAGGCCTCAGCACCTCCATCCACAAAATGGGCCGCTACACATAAAGCACTTAGCGCAGTGACAAGCATGTAAACACTTTATCGTCAGTACTAACATTGTGTTTTTATTATTATTCACTCATCAATGAGGAAGAGTTCATCAGTCATGCTGTGTCCTTTCTGTCCCTTAGCTGTGTGACCTTTCCTGAAGCACAGTTCTGTGTCCCCAACCCCTGTACACACACCAGCCATGGGAGTTGGCACTAAGGCACTGTTAACTGCCTTTGATTAGGACCATTTACCTGGTTAAGGCTCTCATTAAGGCCACCATACCTGGGTCTCTTTGTCCCGGTCTGATGATATGAGCATCATACAAACAGACTCTGAAATTAGGACAGATCCCTTTCCTCCAGGCCCAGCTCCCTGTCACATGAGACGAGCACATGAGAAACCTCATTCAGAAATGGATTCATGCCACATTTGGGCAGTTAAAGGAATGGGCCTTGCTGGCACCTCTCTCTAATCTGCTGTCTCGCAGAACTTGGCACAGACTGCAATGTAACTCTTCTCCTTCCCTTAGGGATGGCTGATTTACATGTAAAGGGGAAAAGCATAACACAAAGTCATAAATTTCTCCTTTATGAATTACAGAGAATTCTTTTAAAGGTTATTTTAAAGAAAACAGGACATTCAGCCACACAAACTTCCATAGTGATCTCACTCTCAAAAAGTCATGGGTTTACAGAAATACTTCTCCGGGGCAAATGGATCATATGGAAAACCCCCTGGAGTAGAACATCTGTTCTGCTTCCTCACGGCATCCATCCCGATCCACTTCGAGACTCATCCAGAGAGCCCCAGCTAAGTGGACAGAGGAAGCCATACGGTTATTCAGGACTAGAGCTAGACTCGGGCATGGAGAACTAGCCAGGCAGCCGGGCTCCCACACCAGGGAACCAGAAGTAAAGGCAGAGTAAGGACAAACACAGTCAAGTCTCTTCGCTAAGGGGATGCAGTCAGATATAGGATTTCAACAGTCAGGACAGATGTGGGAAGCGAGGATGTAAGATCATTCAGTGAGTGCCTGATCCATTTTACATGAGGGTGATAGATGAGGGACTTTTACATCAGGTCACAATTCCCAGAAAAGCTCTCCCATGCTTCCCCTCTGGTCTTTTTGATCAGCTGACCTTGTAGGAAAAGTTTCTGGTCTGTTGCCATGCTGAGTCAGGTGTGGACCTGAGACTCCCTTCTCTCTGTCTCTCTCTCTCTCCTCCAAGGTGAACAAGGCTCTGAAGCAGAAATCAGACATCGAGCACTACCGGAACAAACTGCGCCTGAAGGCTAAGAGGAAAGGGTATTACGACTTCCCTGCAGCGGAGACAAGCAAAGGATTGACGGAAAGAAAGATGTATGAGAAGACCCCAAAGGAGGTGGAGCCTGTTTTGGACCCAGACCCAGAAGTGTGTGCTCCCTTCGCAGAGTCTAAAAACAGGTAGACGGTGTACTTTCTGTCCTCATGTCACACGTGGGGTGAGGGCAGAGGACACCTTGGGCACTATACCCATGCTCCCTTGATCTTACCTGGGGACTTTGATCTTTGCAGGCTTTTGATCTGGGCCCCGCAAGCATGTACTCAATAATGAGTCTGAAAGAGAGTCAAATTGAAGCAGTTAAAAAAAAAAAATTCTGGGGCAAATAACCCCAATTGTCCTTTAGCTTAATGATATTTTCAAGCCGTAGCTATTTCAGAGCTGGGTAAAATATAATTATCACCTACCTAGTTATGCAACTTCCAGATCAAGGGGCATTGCATTGTTCAATTATGTTAGCGGTTCTTGCACAAGAAGGCAAATTTCATGCCTCCCTTTTTTCGTTCAGCTTTAGTCTGTGCCTATGGCACAGAGGCCCAGCGCTCCATGCTAGCTTGTCTCGTTCACTCGTAGATATGTTTAGCTGTCTCACACTTAGCGTGCCCTGTTGAGCATCAGACAGCAGTCAAGATGATGCGTGCGCGTGTGGTCCCATGTGCTTCTTCTCACCCATTCCTTCCGTGTTTTGTGTCGGACCAGAGAGCCTGATCATTGATCATACGGAACTTAAAGCCTGGGGAGAGAGAGAGACGAGCACCCGGAAAGTGTGGCCACATACCCGAGGGGCACAAACCTGCGGGCTGCCGTAGCTCTGACGGGGCCTGGCCCACTGAGGTAGAGCGAGGCCAAGTGGTTGGAATTGCTTTCTCTCCAGCTGTTCTTCGCTTCCGTCACAAAATACCTGAGATTGGGCAATTTATAATTGGCAGGCATTCGTTTTCTAACCGTTCTGCTGGCTAGGAAGTCCAGAGCCTGGTAAAGGTGGTCTTGCGGTGTTAGCACATGGCAGAGGGCGGAAGGACAAAGAGCGAGAGCAGGCTAAACTCACTTTTTTTATGGTGCCATTTGTTTTAGTCACTGCTCTACTGCTGGGAAGAGACACCATGACCGAGGCAGCTCTTTTAAAAGACAGCGTTTAGTTGGGGGCTTGCTTTCAGTTTTAGAGCCTGTCCATGATCATCATGGCAGCAAGCAGATAGACATGATGCTGGAACAATAGCTGGGGTGCTTCACATCCTGATCTGTAGGCAGCAGGCAGAGAGAGGGAGAGTCTGGGCCTGGCATGGGCTTTTGAAACCTCAAAGCCCACTCCTAGTGACACACTGTCTCCAACAAGGCCACACCCACTCCAACAAGGCCACACCCACTCCAACAAGGCCACACCCACTCCAACAAGGCCACACCTCCTCATCCTTCCCCAACAGTTCCACCAACTGGGGACCAAACAATCAAATATATGAGTTTCTGGGGACCATTCTCATTCAGACCACCACATCATTGATGTGCCCCATGAGACTCGGTGGCCCTATCAGTGGCCAAAGTTTCTACCTCCTAACACTGATAAAACAGCAATAAATATTAATTAAATCTTTTATTTCTTATTCATACATGCATATAGTACAATTGTATCCAAACCACCCTCCATTCCTTTTCCTCCAGTTCATTCCCATCCCCCCACTTTTCCCTCTGAACTTCCTGTGTTCTCTTTTTCTCTTTCAAATTTAGTATCTTCTGCGTTCATTTAGTGCAACCTGGATGTGTGTGGGTATGGAACTGTCTATGGGAGCATGGGTAGCCTGCATCCCTAGAGAGAAGTGACTTTCCCTCTCCCATTAGCTAGGGGTGGAACTTCGTGAGCCTCTCTCCCGAACATTCTGGGACTCTGGCTGGAGTGATCTAGTACAGGTCTTGTGCACACAGTGTCTGAGTTCACGTGTGTAGCTGCACTGTCATGTCTAGCAAATACTGTTTCGCTACAGATATCTGCTACAATCTTTCCACCTCCTCTTACTCAGTGAGGGAACTTGCTGTGGTGTAGATGTGCCATTTAGAGATGAACACTTCACAGTCTCTTTGTCTCTGCGTGTTGACCAGCTGCTGGTCTTTGAGGAGAAGCTTCTCTGATGAGGGCTGAGTGATGCACTCATCTGTGAGTATAAAAATAACTCATGGATCTGGGCTGGAGAGATGGCTTACCAGGTGAGAGCACTTGCTGCTCTTTCAGGGGACCTGGGTTTGGTTCACAGTACTCACACAGTTGTTCACTTTCATCTGGAACTCTAGATTCAGGGATTCTAATGCCCTCCGGCCTCTGTGGGCACCAGGCATGCATGTGGTGCACATACACACAGGTAGAACACTCATAAAATGAAAATAAATGAGAATATTTTAAAAAGAACTCAGGGATTAACTTATTACTATGTCCATTTCGCAGAATACTAGCAGTAGGTTCTCCTCCTAGGAGCTAGGACTAGGTTTTGGGCCACAGGTTTTGGGCACAGTTAATGATACCGGGCATGGGGCCCATCTCACATAATGGGCTTTAAATCCAATAAAAACATGTTTGATTCCTCTCATACCATTCCGGCCGCTGCTGCACCAGTGCACGTGTCTTGATAGCTCAGTCACTGTTCTAGCTTGCAGGGTTCACAGCTGGGTAAGACCGACGACGACAACTGCCCCTCCCCCATGTCTAAAGAACCTTCCGGCACTATGAGAGTTAGCCGGTAGGAATGGAGTCTCCAGGAGCAACCAAATTTTCACATGAATTATAGAAAAGGCAAACATCCAAAGCATGACAGCCGTCTCCAAGCTCTGTGGCTAACTAGGCACACATTGTGGGCAAAGAGGTAGGGCTAGCAAAGCTGGTCACGCCCACCTCTCGTCCTTCCCTGCCTGCCTGCAGCACTTCCACGCTGCGAGACCACCTCTTCCCAGGGTCCGTTCCCCGTGACGATCCCCTGGCTTTGGGCACGCTGAAACTCCATGAAGCCCAGCAGGCGCCTGTTCCACATGCTAGAAAGAGTAGGGCATGAACCTGGCCTGAATGGCTATTTGCTTTGAAAATGAAAAACAAATTTAAAAACAATACCATTTAACAGGATTGGGTGAAAGCAGCAAACCAAAGTTGGCAACTGGGAATAAACCGAACCAGCATAATGTATTTTCAGTAAAGAAAAAAAAGGGGGGGTGGGGGGACTCTAAGCCAGGGCTTAATTTGCCAGGCTTGGCTGGCTGGTATGACAAACTGAGGACATGAAATCACAGCATGACAGGGTTCACAATGCACATGTCACCGTGTTAACAGAAAGAAAAGATACGGATTTGACACAGAGGCTGAAAGCAACTTTATTTTGCACTGTGCTCTTGAGGAGCTCTTCAGTGGGCTTCCTGGCTGGGAAGTGACTGGAGAGAGGACACTTTTAATGATTTTTTCCCTGGGAGCTGTGTCTAGACTCTTCAACATAACCTCAGGCCAGCTGCCCAACATTCCATGATGGACTCTTCACTGCGGTGTGCATGTAGTTATCTCTCAGCAGGTGTCCATGGAAGAAATGATTCATTGTCCCCATAGCACTAAGAATGGTTGGACAAACCATTCAAGTGTTCACTACTTAAGGAAAAAAGATAGCCAGGAGCTATGTGAGCTGGGGAGAGGCGTGAAAGACAGCATGGAAAGAGATGGGGTGGTAGAGAAGCCAACAGGAAAGGAAGGAACGTCGAGCTTGCGGCTCAGGGGTGTGGCTCCCGACGGCTGCGTGCCGTGTGTCTGGTGTCACAGGTTGGAGCTCCCTGTTAATTGCTGTTCACAGCACAACCCTCAGAGACTCTGCTGTGAGCCACGCAGCTAGAGCAGGGCACAGCGAAGCAATCATTGTCTGGTGTGCAGGGACATCATTACCTTCGGAGCAAAGTAACGGCGAAAAAGACGCGAAACTGAGATTCTCGTGTTAACTTATCACTAAATCTTTCAAAATAGTTTTCAAGGTTCTATTTTTCCTAAAAACTGGTTACAACGCCCTATTTTACATCGTGCACTCTTGTGGTGGAGACATAAAGCGGACAGGCTGACTGAGGCAGATGCTGTCTCCAGCCAGATTTATATGCTCACTACCTATACACCTGCTGTCTGCGGCCTTTGTAACCCTTCTTCTGGGATTTTTCTCAGAAGCCAAAAATGCTCTGTAGCTAATGTGCTGTGGCACATCCTCAGCTGATGACAGATTAGAACCAATGGACCAGTATCCCTGGCAAGGGATTCTGGGGGGTCAGGAACCCTGTTGTAATAGCCATAGTTTCCAGCTTTGTGTTTGATGCTTATACAGGGAACAGGTGGAGAAATCATCACCTCCCCCAAGACTGCCCAAAGCCTACTGACAAAAGACTCGCCTGCAAGTGTGTTTTTCAGGTGGAAACCCATACCTCGATCGCCTCCTTTAGATGAACTCCGGGACCCTCATCCTAGGCCTGGATCCACTTGCCTGGATCACCATGATCCAAGAGCCAAGCATTTGACAAATGGAGATCATCCTTGAGCTTCTGGAGTCTACCATAACTGTCCAAACTCTTCCCACACCTGCTTTTCCTGCCTTGTCCACCGCATCTCTCAGAAGCCACAATTTAAAGGCTTCTGCTTACACTTCCCCCTCTCTCCCTCTGACCTACCTGGTCACTGTGCACCCCATCTTTCTCCCTCTCATGGCCTGGATCTTTCCTTGAGCTCTGTGTGTGCTGTAATAAACTGTCTTTTCAATGGCAGGCATCTCTTGACATTGAACAATAATAATTAAAACACCATCCCCCAGACTTTTCCAGTGAGTCTGAGCCCCAGGTATCCTAAATATGAATCCACTCTTTCTTGTACTTCTGTTGACTTCCATACATTCTTTCCTTATTTCCCTTCGACTCCCTGGCTATAGTTTCCAGAGCCACCTTGAAAATAAACCATTTGCATTCAAATCCTCATAGATCATGCATCTGCGGGGCCAACACAGGGCAGTAATCTCTTCAGAGCTGCTCTGACAGAGCCCAACATCCTCTTCCTCAGCAGCTTAGGTTATCTCTACAGAACGCCAGGGTTCCATAGAATATACAGTTTGAAACCGCTTTCTTAAACTCTATGAAGTTAAAAGGTCTTAAGGGTTCGAGGAAAACACATCATAACCTACCCAGCAATATTGTCAGAGGGGGGTGGGAAAGCTCAAATTGACATGTTATAAATTATAGCAAAATAAGAACAAGTGTGCCTAGTAGAATCGATGGATTAAAATAAGCATCTCTTTCCATGGCAGCCTGATTGATCCCCAGGTAGACAGTCATGCACCAGGCACTTGTCCACACTGGAATTCTGGTCATGGGAACGTGTTAAATCACAGTCTGCTTGGCACAGTGAGCTAAGGAGGTAGCTCAGCAGCAGGGTCACACCTGCCTAGGATGTGCAAGACCCTGGGTTCAATCCCCAGCACTGCTAAAAAAAAAAAAAAAAAAAAAAACAACAACAACAACAACAACAAAAAAAAAACTTTAGCCATTGAAATGCAATGTTTTCTCTGAAGGCAGAATAAACCAGTGGGTGCTCCAGGGTCTAAGCTTTTAACATGTTCACGTTCCTCATTAGTATGTGTCTAATACTTACGGAATAGCCTACTGTCGATTACCAATCTGCCTGCATATCCTTCCACTGCTCTTACTACTAAATCTTTTGTTAATGGGCTAATTGACAGTGGCTGGATAGCTATAAAGTATGGTTTTTTTCCCAAAAAATATAGTTGTAATTAAGCCAAGGATCTGAATTCTTTGGGATCTGCTTTAAGGCATGAGTCACTCTGAATGTATGCAGCTCACTGCCTGCTGTGCCCAGGCGCCTCTCCTAAAGGAAGTCTCTAGTTTCAGTCAACTAGAGGGGACAGTTTATAATATGAGCTTGTATGCTGCCATACTAGCAAGGATTCTTTTGCTTGCTAACAATGGAAATCCAGCACACATTGGTTAAACAAAAGGGGACTGTATTACCGAGCACTAGTGCCAGGCCAAAGCTTTAGTCTGGCTAGATCAAGGGGACCGTACCGATTTGGGTTTTGCTTTCTCTTCACTTTCCCAGCCTCTTTTGAAGGTAGGCTACAACCTCATGATGGCAAAAACCCAGCTGCAGGAAACCCCAGGTTTGTGTCCCTCAAATCCAAAAGAGCCCCTCTTTCCTAGCTGTCCTGGCTGTAGCCCCAAGACTCAGTTTCACTGGACCCAACTTAAGTCACGTGCCCACCCCCCTGACCAATCACATGGATGTAGGGATATGAGTCTGTGGTGGTCCAATCTGAGTCAGCGCCTACCCCTGCAGGAAAGGTAGCCCCCAAGAAGCACCATGCTATACTTACCAAGAGGGTAAGTACCATGGGGCCAGGCAGGCAAAAAGAACAGATTCTCTTAAAGGTAGTGTGGTTCCTGGTGGTGATGGAGGAGACTGAAGAGTGTCTGTTGTTTTCATGGCTAAGTGCTAGGGTGGAGTCTTGCCTTGAAGTTCTTGCTGGACCGTGTGTGACTGAATGCTGTAAGCAACTTATTGTGTTCATAAAATAGTGTGTGTGTGTGTGTGTGTGTGTGTGTGTGTGTGTGTGTGTGTGTGTTTGCGTGCGTACGCATGCACCCCAGGTCTTTACCTCCAAACATGAATATCTAGAATCCTTAAACTGAAGCATGTAATTTGTGGTACTTAGGAGTTCTCTGAACACGGTCTAGAGGCAGACGTTATTTTGCTGTTGGGTGAAGGGGACTTTTAAGCCCTTTGTCATTCTGCAGAATCCTATGGAAGTCATCTGTGCTTAATGGGTCTCACTCCTGCAGACAAAAGTCGCTGCTTGTGGGAGGAAAAAAGCGTGCCAGCCTTCTCTTTATGTGGCTGCTTTCTGTCCCCCTCTGTAGATAGATTCCTCCAACGACAAGCAGAAACAGGATGGTGGCCAATGTAGGAATCTTTGAGAAGTAGCTGAGTGGACCCCTTGGACAAGCTACTGCAACCTGGGCCTGAAGAGCTATGGGCTCACTTGAGGGGCTGGATCTATTTAGAACTCAGCTAAAGGGTCATGCCCTTGAACAGGCCTTCTCTGACCTTCCTGGTTACCCTCTGTCTGAGCTTCTTATTTTTATTTATGTGTGTGTGTGTGCATGTTGTGTGTGTGTGTGTGTGTGTGTGTATGTGCATGTATACGTGTGTGTTTGTGGTCTTGGGTATCATCCTTCAGTATTCACCCACTATTTGGTGAGGCAAGGTCTCTCATTGCCCTAGAACTTGCCAAGTAGGTACTCTGGCTAGCCAGTGAACCCAAAGGGCCTCCCGTCTCTGCCTCCCCAGTGCTGGGATTACAAGTATGCTTCACCACACCTGGCTTTATTAATATTATTATTATTATTATTAACTATGTATATTCTGGGACTTGAACACAGGTCCTCATATTTGCAAGATACTTTACTGAGTAAGCCAACTCCCCAACCCTCCTTATTTTTATTAATAATACTAATCACTCTGAAGTTAGCATGCCAGTTTGTCTCCCCCATGGGGTACAAACAGCAAAAGTACCAGGGCCATGGATGTTCAGCTTCCAGGTTCTTAGCACATACTGCTAGGCACTTGGTAAAAAAATAAACAAATAATTTTTTAATTAAAAAATTGGTGCCCCATCGGCTGGCTAGCTGAGTGGGTCCCAAATCACCTTCAGGCTTATTGTCTTCGCCAAGGAGAGAAAAGAAATCAATCAATGATCATAGCATTCAAAGTGGCCCGTTCTCTATAGGATTCATTTCCTAACACATTGTAGGAGTCCAGGCCTGAAATCTCAAAGATGAAGAAGGAACAGGAGGCTGCTGAGTCAACAGAGTCAGCAAAGGCAAGTTTGTTCTGCAATGTTAGCTGTCCTCGAGGGTCAGCAGAGAACCCCTGGCCCTACCATCAGCAGAATTTTAGATGAGGTTGCTCTACTCAAGTTGATTGTAGTTGCCTAATTTGATATGAAAGAACATATAATTCAGCCAAATAATTATAGCATCTTGGGCAGCTCAGGGAGAAAGGGTAACTTGTTCTCCCACTTCTTCTTACAGCCAAAGACTGAGTACCATCAGTTCTGAAATTCTGAGGCCAATCCAAACCCTCCACCGGTTGCCTGTAGGTTTGGATCGGTGGAGAATTCCATCTGTCAGGGCATTTGCTGCATCATAACAGTTGTTGGATTTCCTTCAGGCAACAGATGAAGAGCTCTGTCTACCGAAGCCGGCAGTCTCTGAACAGCCCAAGCCCAGGAGAAACCGAGATGGACCTTCTGGTCACACGGGAGCGACCCCGGCGTGGAATCCGGAACAGTGGATACGATGTAAGTGTCTGATAGAATGGGGTGGGTGCAAGCTTTCCCCAGAAAGCCAGCGAACACAGCATCCCAGCATGTTCCAGCTTACCACATGTTTGTGGAGTTTCAAGATGCCCTGCAATGTTCTGTTTTGGTTTTATGTTATGGGGGAGGGTGTTAGTAATGGGGGACATGCTGTTTGTTTTCCCTTTTTGCAAAGTAAGCTACTTGGGACGTGTGAGAGTGATTGTGATTTCTAAACTGTTCTATTCTGTAAACGGTGTATTATTGACCTCACATTCAAGGGAGATTATAAATGGTCTCAATTCCTTCCCTCTTACTGGTAGAAACATGGTAAGAGCTGTGGCAATGTGTTAGAGTTCTCGGAACACTGGCTGCTTTTAATCTATAACAGTTTTGAACATTTGGACTTGTTCCTGATTTCGTAACTCCTTCGTGAGCCGTGGAAACAATGAGATGTCCAACAGTGAGGGCTGCTTCCAGGGGACAGGGCCGGGCTCAGGGCTGTGTCCGGACTGCAAACACTCCTCCAGCCCTTCAGGTTTCCCCAGATGAGGAGGCTCCAACCGGGGCCTTCCCTCAAGATGGAGCCGTCCTGAACTTGGAGTTACACCCATGAGCTCGTGCGAACGTTTCCACACTTGAGGTGGAGATGCACACTGCTACTCTTCCTACCTCACAGTTTCTAAGAATCTTCATGTAATCTCAGTTTTATGGGGGGAAAATGCTTCTTTCTCATTCCCCTTAATATTTCTTTAATTACAAATTAATTTTTCTATAACAAGAGTAACAATTCAAATACTGGAGAAACTTACAATTTGAGAAATGGTGATTTGAACAGGACGCTTAATTTTTTTTTTTCAATATATCGTGCTGATTTGAAGGCAAGAAGATTTTTCCCTTTTGAGATTAGTCATTGTTTGGCCTAAGTGCTTAAAACGGGCTTTTTAAATGGTCCAATTTAAAAGAGGTAATTTGAGTGTCTGGTGATCTTTCTTGATTGAAATCTAATGCTGTGTTAGAATGATGTTCATCTCTTTTCTCGAGTGCTGGGCACTGAACTCAGGGTCTTGGACTCATTCAGCAAGCGCTCCATCCCTGAGCCGTTTTCCTGTCCACTCATCCTCTTCCTTCAGTGTTACTAATCACTTGTTTCTTTTTCACAAAACAGCTTGAGGTTTTCACTTTGCAGGATGCTAGACACTCTGATCATGTATTTTGATGTTACAACTTTGCTTCTCTGATAAACTCTCCTAACAGAGACTTTTTCCCTTTATGAGAAATATTTCTGGGCTAGGGAGATGGCTGTGTGGGTGTAAACAAGAGGACCAGAGTGTGGATCCTCAGACACCTGGGCTAAAATCAAGCATGGCTGAAACGCCTGTGACCTCTGCCCTAGCTGAAAAGGTGTGCTTCAAGTTCAAGGAGGAGAGACCCGTCTCAAAAATAACATGAAGCAACCTGAGAAATGGCTGAGCAGTTAAAGTACTTGCCACACCACTGGGAAGACAGGAGTTCAGAGCCCAGAAACCCATGTAGATGCCAGATAGACATGACAGCCCATGATTCAGAAGGCAGAGACAAGGATCCTCAGAGCAAGCTGGCTAGCAAGACTTGCCGTGTCAATGAGCTCTGGGTGTGACTGAGAGACCCTGCCTCAATGAATAAAGTGGAAGAGTAATAGTGAAAATTTCCCCACATCATCCTCGAGCCTCCACAGACATGCACATACATGGGCATCCCCATACATATTCAAACACACATATACATACACATACCTACACACCACACACACACAAGTTACCTCCCACATATACACACAAATAAATAAATAAGCAAGTGAGAGCCTGCCTTTAGAAAAATCAGCCTAAGTTTTAAGTTTTCAACCCTCCACCCCTGTCAAGAGGCCAAGAGCATCATTCCTAGAAGCTTGCTTAGTTTGGGGACATTTTCTTCCACTCAAACCCCTGAGACATGCTAGGCTCTTTATCCAAGATAACTATTAATAGGTTTCTTCTAAGAGTCTAGGCAGAGATGTTTTTACAGTTATGAGGAAATAGGCCAGAGGTCTTCTACTGATCTTGAAGGAACACAGCACATTTTTAGCCGTATAGTATAACTTGCAGCTTTAGAAGGTCAGGTCAGTAAACTACCTAGAATAATAAATTGCTCATCCTTCACAGATGTGTGTAAACATGTGCGTGCGTGCGTGCGTGCGTGCGTGCGTGCGTGTGTGTGTGTGTGTGTGTGTGTGTGTGTGTGTGTGTGTGTACTTTCCTTTGAGATATGTACGTTATCTTTAAAACATTGTAAGTTTCTTTAGGGCAAAATGCTCACATAGGAAATAATGCTAAGACTTCAGACTGTGACCAGAACTGCCTCTCTCGTCTCTTCTTGAACCATTTATGACAAGCAGTTAACGTTCCTTGGCTGCACAGTACAGACCGAGTCCTAGTCTGCTCACTTTATGTGTGCTATACAGTTGAAGTTTCATGTTTCCAGTCATTCTACCCCTTGCACAGAAGAGGAAACTAGGACTCAGACTAGATCCATAGTTTGTCTGCCTTCCAGGCTCATGTTCTTAACCGGCATCAACATGACTTCTCAATACCCCTTCCTGCTATGCAGCTGATCTCATGTAAGACATGTCCTGTATTTCTGAACCTCTTTGGGAGATCAGTTGTGAGGTCTCAGAGGAATCCTTATGTAGAAAAGCTTATATATAAATAAAAAGATCAGCAAATAAAGAAGAGAAAGAAGTGAGTGATAGTTTTAAACAATGCATTCATTTTCCAAAAGCGTCAAGGCACTCCTGGCAAAAGAATCCATTAGGCCGGCAGTGAACCTGTCACTTGGTTGGAAATATGCCATTCTGCCTCCTGGGTCTGGAGATCTCAAACTTGGCCAAATTATTTAGTCCTTTTTGCCAGGTTAAGGAAACTCAATGCTGTAGAAACAAAAAAATCAGGGAGATTGATTTAATTTTGGATTGACCACACGTTGACTACTTTACATCCCCATAGGAGAAGCCTTCGTATAGAAATAAGTGAATAAATACACAAGTAAGCAGGTAAAATGTGCTGCACAAGCCAATCTTAGCCACAGGATGGAAGGCAGCCTGGCTTGTTTCACAGTTCCCATGGCCTCCTTCCAGCCCCCCTCCAGCCCCTCAGGGACTTGCGGCCTCTTGGTTTGGTCTCAGGCCCCCCTAGGTTTTCTTCACTGCCCCATTCAGCCCTTCCTTTGAGGACATCTCCATGCATCTGTGACTCCCGCGGAGCCACAGAACCATTCTGTCCTAGGGACCATCAACTGCCCCGCTGGGCTAGCATGCAGATTACGGCATCGATTAACCCACGTCAGAGAAATTTCTTCTCCAAGTAAATTGCAGTTAACACAGAGACCCACAACTGGACAAGGTGCAGAGAGTGAAAGTCTTTGGAGCACTCAGCACTAAACAGAATGTCTTTGTCGACTCCCTCCCCTCAAGGCCTAGGGATCTATCCAGAAGAGGGGGTGGAAAGATTGTAAGAGCCAGAGGTGGTGGATGGTTCCAAGGAAACAGGGTCCCAGATACAACAGGACTGATCCACATATGAACTCACAGAGACAATGACACATGCATAAGACCTGTGCAGGTTCACACCAGATGAAATCTCAGCACTAGGAAGGGGAAGCAGACACAGTCCCACCCCTAACCAAGAAGATATGTGCACTCGATACCTACCAGGAAAGGGGAATCAGCTTTCTCCAGTGGAGTGACACTGGGTAAATCAGTCACACTCCAGACAGGCCTCATGCCCTCGAGCAGCTGACCAACACAAAACGGACTCCTTGTTTTTTCTGCATGTGCTTTTTGTTTTATTTTGGTAATTTTTGTTGTATTTGTTTTTGTTTGTTTTTTTAATACTCATTCTTGGTGAGGTTTTTTGTTTGTTTTGAGAGAGAGAGAGAGAGAATGAAGTTGGATGAATAGGGAGGTAGGGAGGATCTTGGAGGAGATGCAGGGGGAAGAACATGAACAAAATATATTGTACGAAAATAATCTAAGAGTTAATAAATATTAAAGGAAAAGTTTCCCATAGAGCCAGAGCTGTTGGATCTGCAGAGGAGAGAGCCCTGCGAGAGTTTGGAACTGCCATGTTTTGCAGCAACAACTCTGGACTTCCTCTCCCTCCATCAGCCAGGACACTGAGTGATTGTGACCTAATTAGTGTCATTTTCTAAGAGTACACACTCATGATAAAAGGGTGAATTATGTTTAAAAAGATGTCCTAAACTGATCACTCTTAACAGGCAGACTAGATAATTAAACCGTTTTTGGCTTTGAACTTAATTCCTCCTAATGCATATAGCAGGAAGAAAACAATATCAGACTAATGTACAAAGGGGGGAGCCTCTAAAATTTAAAAAAGCTTATCTTTGTGTGTATATGTGTGCACATGTTTGTTGTGCATGGTGTATGTATGTGTGCATGTGTGTATGCACCTGTGTGCGTAGGTGCTTGCACACCCATGTGTGCCTGTGTGGAAGCCAGAGTAAGACTTCAGGTATCTTCCAATATCACTCTCCACCCTGTACCCACCCTTCCCCCAAGACAGAGTCTTTCACTAAACTTGGAACTCACTGTTTTCCATTTAGGCTGGCCAGCAAGTCTCGGTCATCCCCAAGTCTCCACACCCTCTGCCCCTTGTCCTGGGGTTACAGGTGCATATGGTCATGTCTACCTCCTTTAAAGGGATTTGTTTTTATTGTTTATTCATTTGAATGTGAGTATGTATATTTGTGTCTGAGCATGACTGAGTGTGCTGGTACCCATGGAAGCAAGATGAGGGTATCAGAGTCAGCAGGCCTAGAGTCATAGGCCATTGTGAGCCACCCCATGTGAGTCCTGAGAACAGAACTCTGGTCCTCTGCAAGAGCAGCATGCCCTCTTACCTGCTGACCATCTCTCTAGATTTCTAAGTATAAATTTTCCTAAAATGTTGCTTTCTGAGCTGGAGAGA